ATTGTGGTGTGACCTACCATCATTGCTTGGAACACACCATCTTTGACCCTTTCTGACGCATAACCTTGCTGGACCTTTGTCACAAAAAGTTGATATAATTCCCTAGCCTGGTCCCCTCCCATGGCTCCATGAAAGTCTGGCTTTGAACCCTTCTTCGTTGAGGCAAGTAATGTGAATTGTGAGACTGATATACGAAAGGAATTGTCAGTCTGTGGGAATCCCATGTCTAAGGGTAGTACTCAATTATCTTCACATACCACAGAGAACTTCTCCTTGGATGTCTTGTACATTGTGTTTCCACTATGAAATGAAATGAAATGTATTAGGACAGTAATCAAGCAAGAACAACAAAACAGCAACTGAATGACTCAACCAATGCCTGGTATGAAATAACAGAAAACCACTTCTGAGATCAAGAGAAGCAAGAGACTCCTTGTTCATACCCGACCGCCATTCTCGTCATCCCATAACCGCATTTTCAGGACTTTTGCTGCTAACGATTCTGCATCTTTCTCTGTATCACCAGGAGCCACAGCGGCAAATACTAATATGCCTTTGCCAATTGATGATATCAGCTGCTTGTCTACCGTTACAGAAGCAGACAGAACACGTTGAAGTATAGCTAAGCAGAACCTAGTAAGTATAAAGCTTGGAGAGCAAAAAAGGAACGAGGGGTAGAGGTGGAAATGATACCCTTCATGTTTACTAGGTGGATAGACAAATGACCAGGATTGAATCGGTCTTATTGATCTTCTGACTAGAATCAAGATCGATTCCTCTCTAGGAACGATTTATACAATGAAGTGGGACGGTGAGGATTCCTGATAGTCTGAATTACAAGTCAACAATGTCGATAGGTAGGAACGAGACTCTCTCTATAGCTATATGATGACCTACTTTGGGACCATATGATGCAATCCCCACTTGAGCATTTATTTCATCCATGATAATAAATAACAATTAATCACAACCATACGATAAAAGATATGAATTTTCAATGATCAAAAGAATCGAAAGATAATTGAATTATAAATCCAAATATCAATTCAGAAATCAAAATCCATTTCCAGACAGTAACATACATATCCATATTCATTCCATACTCAGCCATGGCATTCTTTCTGTGAACCTTGCCCATGAGCTTTCCCCCCACGTTCTTCTAAGGCTGCAGGTGATGAAGGTAAGGTGCAAGCGAGGCTCTCTTCCCGCAATCTCACCCAAGCCAATATGGTCGCAACGTGAAATCCAATTCAAAATTCAGCAACAACTTCTCAACCTTTCACCACTACACATTCACACAAAGACCACGCCTTTACTTGGTAGCAAGGTAATTTGTAGATTCCTTGTACTACCACCTTTTCACGCAAAGGCTCAAGCTAGACATCTATACCACGCATGGGGTCTGATATTTGTCAAACAAAGCTAGCCCCTTGTACACAACAGCAATCACCAAACACCAACCCATCGATACATTTCTCCGTACCCCTCACAATTACACGATGGCGGCACGAAAACTTCAGCAAGAAGTCGACAAGTGCTTCAAGAAAGTCACTGAAGGCGTGGCAGAATTCGAATCAATCTACGACAAGATAGAACAATGCACAAATGCTGCGCAGAAGGAGAAGTTGGAGGACAACCTCAAACGTGAGATCAAAAAGTTGCAGAGGCTTCGTGATCAAATCAAGACATGGGCTGCAAGTAATGACATAAAGGATAAGGGTCCTCTGTTAGATCACCGGAAATTGATTGAAACGGTAGGGCATATATTTTGCTTGACTTTGGAGTGAGCTAAACTGTTGTAGCAAATGGAGAAGTTCAAGGCAGTAGAAAAAGCTATGAAGACGAAAGCATATTCGAAAGAAGGGCTTTCGGCGGCAGCGAAGCTGGATCCAAAGGAGCGCGCGAAAATGGAGACCGGGGAATTCTTGGGCAACATGGTAGAGGAGCTAGAGCGCCAGATCGAGACAATGGAGGCCGAACGGGAATCGATATCAGCAACGATGAAGAAGGGGAAAACTCAAAGTGCCAAGGCCGATAGAATAGCAGAGCTGGACAACTCAACGGAACGGCACAAATTTCATCAAAATAAGTTGGAGCTTATCAAACGCTGTCTGGAAAATGGTACTGTCGAGGTTGAGCAAGTCAAAGATCTTGAGGAGTCCATCAAATATTATGTGACCGACAATATGAACGATGACTTCATGGAGGACGAGGAAATGTATGATGAGCTCAACCTTGATGAGGAAGAAGATAATTACGGCATGAATAATGATAATGATCGGGTCTCATCACAAGACACACAATCGATACAGGAGGATGTACCAGATACAGATCTACGATCCAATAGTTTACCCGGGAAATCGAAATCAGGTTCAGAACCGCCTCTAGCTGCTGCACGAAGACCTTCTACTCAACTGAAAAGCCCTCTCCCTTCCTTGGCCACTTTACATACCCCTCTATCGACTTTGTCAACAAATGGAAGTTCAAGTAACCTGATGAAACCAGCTGCAGTACCTACACGTGCCCCTGGAGAGACATTGAAATATGCTTCGGCGGCGGCGGCGGCTGCTGCTAGTGATAAGAACGGCCTTGCTCCTTTACCCCCTCCACCTGAAACTTTACCGACCCCCGCAACGTCAGTCAGTCACCCATCTTTATCTGGAGGTGCTGGACGGAGACCGAGTGTTACGGCATCTCCAACTACTATACATTCACAAACCGCAAGTGTCAATCAGACACCTGTGACACGATCTAGTGTTCCAACTACAGATACGCCATCAAGTGCCCAAACAAAATCTCCAGCTTTGAGTCAATCAAGTGCTGCACCTAGTGGAGCAAGTGTGTCCCATCCTGTTGAAAAAACAGAGAATACGAGACCAAATCTTTCCTCAAATTCGTCAGGGAAGCAACCAGCCTTATCCAAGACAGCAGAAGGCAAGAAAGGTTTGTCTATTGCTATTCCATGCGATTCCAATGCTAACAGTTCTATGCAAGCTGTTCCACCACAATCGAATGGTGTCTCGAATGGGCTTAAGTCAAGCACACCAGAGAATACAGAATCTGTATATCATCTTCCTTCAGGGTTCCAGGATATGCTTCAATCTTTTGAGGTAATTCAAAAGAGTGCCCCAGATGTTTTATCCACAGCATCGCAAAGAATGTTGGCATCATCCCAGGCTAGTGGTCCTGGCATGTCAGACGTTTCGCCTCCTCGCAGCTACAAACCAGAAACCCCTTTCAACACGCCATCATATTACCCCCAAGACGTCCCGTCAGTGCTAGATGACCCTAGGTTATATAATCGTATAGATGGAGAAACTTTGTTCTATGTCTTCTACTACAAGCAAGCCACATATCAACAATACCTTGCGGCTAGGTCACTAAAAGAACAAAGTTGGCGATTTCATAAACAATATCAAACTTGGTTCCAACGACATGAAGAGCCAAAGGAAATTACCGAGCTGTATGAGCAAGGAACTTATCGCTTCTTTGATTATGAGAGCACATGGTAAGTTTGACCATATTCATTATTTTTCCCAACATCAACTAACCAAGTGTCTACAGGATGAACCGAAGAAAAGCGGACTTTAAGTTCATCTACAAATTCCTAGAGGACGATGTATGAATAATGCACTGACGCCTATGGTATCTTTTGGTTGGAGGATAGGTTGGCGCAGTGGGAATTGCTCAACCAGCATCTGGCTTGGGGAAATGACCTTAGTTGTCTTAATAGCGAATACTCTTGCTCATCTGGTTTGATTCGGATGAAGTTTCTTAACTTACCTGACAATATTCCTCAGAGAAATAAAATGTTTGCTCGTTGTGATATCTGCCAAACTTCACCCTTCCATACTGGCTCACTGGTCATTTAGGTATTTCTGTGTTTTGTGAACGGCTAGAGACATGCATGATGAAACTACAATTTATGCCAATTGATGAAATGTACTCCCCAATGCAAACAGAATGGGAGAGAGTTTAATAGCATCAGAAGATACAAATTGTTCTCTTGCATTGATCTTGACGAATCAGTCTTCATATTAAGAACTACACTTGAGCGTAATTGGCGAATCAAAACTGACCTTATTCAGGGCTTATCATAAACTGCCCAGGTGTGGGTTGATTGGATATTTCTTCGTATATGGCAATAAAAACCCTTACTAGAGAAATTTCGACTTTAATCCAGATTTTCGTCTTCTGGTCGAAAACTTTGTCCTAAACGGTTGGTTTATCTTCATAGGCCGCAATGAAATGGCCTGCAGACATTATGTACGAGTATGACAACTTTGGGCATCATCACTTGTAAAGTTTGATACCCAATTCTCAGATATTATAAGAGGATGTCAGCTCTCCCCAGATTTCAATTTTTTGAAAAAAATAAATCATGATTCCCTTGCATATTCCTTTTTGCCTCGTCTCTACCCAAGTACAACCAACTGCGCACAAGTTTTGGACCCCAAAGAGGGTTCGCTGAGCCAGCCGACAATACATAGTATGCAACCTCGAAAATGCGACTTTGAATGGCAAATCGTAAGTGTCAGGCACAGGATTGATTAAACATTGAGACTACAGCCCTCTCAGTATTTTCGATCTCTTTTCGGATAGTTCTGTTCGGTGTATATCTCTATATCTTGATTGTTTCACGGAAAAATACTAATGATAAGCAGGTCCAAGTTGTTGTCTTATATCCAGACATGCCACATTTCGTAAGCATGTGGCTTGTACATGGATTCAGATCCTTGATGGAAGTGCTCGTCCTTTTACAATTCTTCATTCAGGACATGATGCAGCCTCTTCTTCACATGCGATGAGGAGTTCACTGAATGTGGCAGTTGAGAAAGACACAGCCAAGCGTTACATCGGCGTCTGCCAGTTATCGTTAGCACAAGCAAATGAAACCGTACAACGAATGAAGGCAAAAGAAGGCGGACGGTCATTCCCGCTCTTTTCACATCTTGCTGCCTAATGGTACGGTCCCATTATCAAGGAGGTTCCAAATCGCAATGGTCCATAGGAGAGTAAACACGAATTCCCTGCTCTGCGAGATACATCTTATTGAGAATGGCGGTCAGCATTGAAGCAATGATATAGGAACAAGTTGCCCAGATCAGGTTTGAAAATAGATTTCCTTCTATTACGACGATTTCATGATACCTCAAAACTCGTCTTTACTGCGCCCCGCCGCCAATATGGTCAATCAGCGACCAGCAATTATGATACCATAGGGTTTCGAATCTACTAAGCCAAATACCCCATTTTGATCGATTCCTGTGAGCATTCTATCATTCTGTGCCTTGCTGCGCATATAGGGCATCAATGATCGCCGACAGACACAATGCCCCTTCAGTTGCCTTTTCGGCTAGTCGGACCACAATCCTAGGATCATTATCGTTCGCCTCATTGAGGCTTAAGTTGCCCAAAAGCAGATGCTTCTTTTTTTCGAACGTTCGCCCGCTGTGCCGTTCGAAGAGAAGGCTAGAAGGTAGCCGGAATCCTAGCTTCAATTTCGACATTACACAGGCCCAAAAATTGCTGACATATTTCATTGGCGACTCAAAATCTCCCAAGTCCTTGACTCTCGGTGAGTTCATCAAGTTAGATCCCGCTAAATAAGTGAGAGGGGCTTTCTATTACCTTTCTATGCATATGAATGCAATAGATGAAGCATCCGGAGCCATTTAAAGTTTTCCGGGGCAACCTTTCACCATAGATATCACAAGGCTATGAGATCCCATTGGTAAATAATAAGCTATGTTGATATTAACCTCCATCTAATTGCACAGGTCATAGGTGATGCATGTGAGTAATTCAGGACTTGACTGACTGTGAGGGAATGACTGTTAAGTGTTGGGTATTGAGAAGCCTCGCAAATTCCTACGTCTATTAAGCAGCTATATCATGTCACGAATTAACCAGAAACGTGGAGATCTTCATTTCAATATACCAGCATCACTGTCCTTCTTCCTATAATTCCTCTTTTATATCATTTCTTTCGTCAACTCTCCTGGAATATATCAATAGCTGGTAAGTGAACTTTGTTTATACTGTCGATCTTCTATTCTTATGACCTGGTCAAATTGCATTCTAAACAGAAGATGATACCTTTCAAGTGAGGTCTAGACTAATATCATGGAAAAGGGTAAACAGAACCATTTCCAGAACAAGCCTGCTATTTATCATGTATTCCAATTCGTTTGATAAAAACCGGAGGCCAAGGCAATACCTTGATCAAGGTAGACTTCGGCCTAATCCGACTACAGCACCATCAATGGGAGGATTTCCAATGAATCGAATCCGTTCTGACCAAAGCTCGACCAGCACTCAATCCGGATCTTCTGGAGACTTTTACTCTCCGGTTCTCATGAGTCGAAATTATTCGGATCAAGGCTCAATCAGTACCCAATCTGGATCGTCCAGGGAGTTCTACTCTCCGGCTCCTAGCAGTCCATCCATGTCTTTCGATTTAAACCCCTCCCACTTACCACAATACTATGACGATGGATATAACCAGGGATACAACAACTACACCACAGCATCATATAGTATGGAGAGGAGCTCATCGAACCAAAGTCATTCTCTCAAAGCAACTCCATCTAGTCTTGGCTGGTCCCCCGAGACAGAACTCCTCAGACTGTACAAGTTAATCGTACCAAAGGGAAAAGAGCCATATCTAGAACTACTTCCAGGGTACACAATTCATCAAGATACACCTCAACAGGTTTTTCTTGATCCACCTAGGTACGTCGATCTACACTTGAAGATTCTAACGAATACTCATACATGCAAAGTGATCCTCAAAAAGGCGTCTATCCTTGTCAATTCCCAATCAACTGTCCAGGCAAGCAATTCCGAAGGCCTGCGGACCTAGAACGCCATTATAGGCATGTTCACGCCGATGCCGATCAGAAGGGTAGTTTTCCCTGCGACTACAAACCCTGCACCCGATCCAAAGGTCCTTTTACCCGAAAAGACCACTATCGAGACCATCTCAAAGATTTTCACAAAGAAGATATTGGGACTGCTAAACAACCCAAGAATACAAAAGATCCTAAGAAACTAGAAGATCTTCAACAAGCGTGGCTCGAAGAACGTCAAATCGATCCGAGATGGTGGAGATGTAGAAAGTGTCTCCGGAGAGTTTATGTGGATACGAATGGATATAAATGCGTAAATTGCAATGAGGAATGTGCGAAAGAGAGGATAGAAGCGAGGGAGCAAAAGAAACGAGACGGGGATAGAGAGAAAATGTACTACTCGGGTGAGAGAGCGGATATGATGTATGCGGCCCAGTGCACGAGCTGTAATGGAAGCATGTGGATCTCGGATGTAGGGTTTGGGGAAGAACATTCGGTGCCCTGTCCGATTTGCGTGCCGAGTGAGGAGATTAGCTACGAGGATGTGGAGTGGCAGGAGGATGGGAGTTTTGAGCCGGCGTACGAAAATGCTTATTAGGAAGTCCGAGTTGGCTTCTTGGGGAGATGGCGAAGGGTTACGATTTGATGAGTTAATGTTTTATGAGAAGAGAGTAGTAACTCTTGAAAATAAGACATGTTCATCTGCTGGCTCTAGGCGTTGGATTTGGGCGGCGAATCAAACTGGGTGGCGTATAAATGTAGACAGACGGCTGGTAACTTGCTTGGAGGGATTTGGTGTTGGTGTCGCTTTTCGTGCTAATTCAACTATTATTTTCTTTTTCCTTTATACAATGTATATTTACCTTTTCATCTTCGCTTTTCTAAACATTTATTCATTCACACCTAAGGTCTCTTTTTTAATGTCCTATCTTTTGAAAGGAGCCAAAAAAGAAACCTTCCAAATTGTTACGTCAATTTTCAGCAGGGTAATAATATTGCTTCGCTTTTCTCTCTATTCCTCTTTCACTATTTCTTCCTCCCCCCCTCGATGCTCATTCTTAATACTTTCCTCACACCTCATCGTCTGCTCCTTATGATCCTTCTTATATCATTCGGGGCGAGGTGTTTCGGAACGCCCAACATTCGGTATCTAATAAGCCTTTGATATCAAGAGACGAAAAGTAAAGTTTATTCTTTATTCTTAGTTTTTTTTAATTTTTTTTATATAATTAAACCCATAATAAAAGATATACTATACACAGATGACATAACTATATACAAATTAGATTCCTGAATATGGAAAATATATAATTAATATACACTATATAAAAATTCTGTAAAATATAACGTATAAGTTTCTTTTACTATACTCCGAAATCTATCCCCTTTAATCCCTTTTAATTCATTCCATTCAAGCTCTAGAGAAACTCTAGAGAAATAATATAAATAGATACTTATTATTAATCACAGAAATCGATCGATATTTATACTTGTACTTATATTTATGTTCATTATATCTAATTATATTACTACTACTTTTACTTAGAGTCAAATAGTAATAGAAAGAGATTTTCTAACTTTCTCACTTTCTTATCTTCTTTTGTACGATATAATGCGGAATATGAATATACGAATATAGAAAAGATTTAGATTTATTATATATATAATGCAGATCAAAGTAAAGTAAAACAAGCAAGTTAAAATTAATATCAATATCTCAATATCATTTATTCATTCATTTATTCCTATATCTTCTCTTCCATCTTCTCTTCCATCTATTCTATTCTATTCCCTCCAACCTCACCCTCCTGAACTTCATCCTCCTAAGCTCCAACCTCGAGATCCAACCTCAAAATCCAGGGAAGATTCAGAAGATTCAGAAGATTCAGAAGATTCAGAAGATTCAGAAGATTCAGAAGATTCAGAAGATTCAGAAGATTCAGAAGATTCAGAAGATTCAGAAGATTCAGAAGATTCAGAAGATTCAGAAGATTCAGAGAAAATCTAGAGAAGTTTTGATCTGATTATTCTATTCGAACTCTATCTATCTATCTATCTATCTATCTATTTATCTATCTATCTATCTATCTATCTATCTATCTATCTATCTATCTATCTATCTATCTATTTATCTATTTATTTATCTATTTATCTATCTATCTATTTATCTATTTATTTATTTATTTATCTATTTATTTATCTTCTATTTATTTATCTATTTATCTATCTATTTATCTTTTATTTATCTATTTATCTATTTATCTTCTTATTTATAAAAAAAGTATTCTATTTATCTATCTATCTATCATCTCTATCTATCTATCGAACCACCTCCCCCCCCCAACCTTACACACCCATCTACACCAAAGTATACCTACCACATACCATCTATACCATCTATACCATATCCAACCAAGCACTCAGAAAATAACAAGCAAATCAACTCCACAAGCAAAACAACTCCACAAGCAAATCAACAAACATACTCTAGAAGAGAATTCTTCAAATCAAATATCAGAATCATACGATCGATACGATCGATACCTAGATAGGTAGGTACCTAGACAACCTGTTGAGTGATTTCGACGATTGAGAAAAACACATATAAAAAAGGAAAGAAACACCCCCCCCTTCCCCCCCCAAACAAAAAAAACACAAAAAAAAAAAAACAACAGATATTTTGATTCTTAAAGGATACCTACCTACCTACAAAAACAACTACCAAGACAGGAAAAAATGATATATATATATAAACCGTAACAAATAAACACATAAACACATAAAACAAATATAGAAATAGTCAATAAATACAGCATGGATATAAATATAGATATTCATAAAGATATAATAAATATTTAGTTCGACATAAAAACATTGACAGCAAAAGTAATATATAGATAGATAGATAGATCCATGCATGCTCAATATAGAATTGCACAAGACGAAAGCGCTCTCTCCTCTCTCCTCTCTTCTTCTCCACACTCTTCTTCTCCACACTCTTCCTTGCCCCTTTCTTATCTTTCTTCCTCTCGGTCCTCTCGGTACCAACTCCGCTCTGCTCTTCTCCAGCCTAAAACATACCCCCATCACCCCTTCCATCTCTCGGTATATGTCCCCAACCCCCCATCGTAGGCGACACAATTTCCTCTCGGAAGCCTTCTCCCCTCGCGCCTCTTCCATTTCCAGTATCAATACTCATCCCCTCTGGCCTCGCGCCTCTTCCATTTCCAGTATCAATACTCATCCCCTCTGGGATACCCATCCCCATCCCTGTAGCAGGTGCCGGTGCCATTATGAAACCCCCATCATTACTACTTCCACTCCCCTGACTCTTGGGTTCCTGTTTTCCCTTCCTCCTCAATCCACCTAGAAAACTCCTACTTTGTTTTTCCTGTCTATTAAGTCCAAGTCCCCCTAGCCCCTTTCCCCCTGGCGGACTAGAGGCTTGCATGCCTAACTGTTGTGCACTGTGATCTGGCGGTGGTGCATAAGGTCTCTGATATTTTGAATCTTTCCCAAAAGTTGCCTCCCAGAAATTTTGCTTCTCTTTCTTTTCTTTATCTTTACTATCTTTACTACTCATGGTAGAGATCGTACCTATTCTTTCACTTCCACTGCCTGCGGAACCGGGAGCGCGAAGATATGTTTGGCTTGTATTATTTATGCTTGTGGCATTGCTATTACTCATTGAGTAGTCCTGCCAAGGAGGTGGAAGGATAGGATGTTGATGTTCTGAATCTGGTTGAAAACACGATTGTGTTGGAGGGAGTGGGAGAATTTGAGGGGATTCGTGAAAATGTGTATTTTGGAGACCTTCGACTATGTCTTCGAATTGGAGAGAAATTTGATCGGCAACGCGATCACCGTACTCTTCAGCTTTGAGTATACATTCATCGGTGCGCTTCTTGAGAGCTATACACAACTCGTTGAACTCACCAAGATCACCTTCAAAGTATTGAGTCATGGAATTCGAGGTTCCTTCTAGCCATAGTTTGACCAAGTCGGCAAAACTTCGTGCATGGTCAATCAAATACGGCAAAGAAGGAAATCCTTCACGAGAAGTGGGAGGTAGTCTTGCGAGAATGGTAATGGGCGTGGAATACGACGCAGGAACCGCAAACGTTGCACGATCCGGGGCAATAGCACAAATAGAATCGAGAAAATCCTTCACACCTTGACGATGCTGATAAAGAAATTTGTTCATCGGTTCCATCCATGACTCTTTTTGACCAAAGCTTGATAAGTTTGCCAAGGCTTGTAAACTTTTTGCGATCAAGGTGAATGTTCGCTGAGCTTTCGGTTGGGGATGATCTGGGAGTAGTCCAAACAATTTTGGATTGAGAATTGCTGGACAGAAAAATCGTAAAAATATGAATCCAGAGACACTAGTATATGCAACAGTCCGAAGAAAATCTCCGTATCTATCTTCAGCAACCGCACGGATGTACTTGAAGATTTGTCGCAATTCTGGTGGACATCGAGTTGCAGAATCTGCTATTGATCTCCAGACGTCAGTAGTTAGAGCAATCAATGAGACCCAATTTTTCTCAAATGCACCGTCGTTGTCAATTCTAGATGGGTCGACTTCGCAATCAGGGTTAATGTTGTTGATGGTACGAATTTGATCTCCCAAGATTTCAGAGAGATATTCCTTCCCAACTCGTCTCATGTGAAAATCAAGAGCTTGCGTTAGTAAGGAGTTTCCTCGGAACAAAAGATTCGCTTCAGTATTGAGACTTTTCCCCATGTCTCGAACCGATTGTTCCCGCTCAATGGACGTGAAGGAAACCTCGTTTGAGCCAATTCTCCTGCTGTATCTAAGTCGTTTTGTTGGCGCTTCTTTTCCAATGCCATCGATTTCGTCTTCAACTAGGGCTTTTAGCCATTCTGATCCGTTTCCAGATACTTGGAATATATTTAGCAGTGTTTCAGATAATTGCCTGAGATTATTGGGTATGACTTGAGAAATTTGAAGTGTCAACCCATTATTGAAATTGTGTAGAAGCTCAGAGATTGGTTGATAATCTTTGGCAAGAAGTACAACAACTTCATCATGTCGAAGTTTCATTAGCATCTCCCCAACCTGCTCTTGATTTTGATCCAAAATTGGCCACCATGCCTCATTATCCTTGCCTCGCTCGAGCTTGTCAACCGATATTTCAACGACTCCACAGATAGTTTCTACTTGCTGGTCCGCCACTTGAACGCTCGAACTTGACAAGAATCCTTGCACGGTTAGTTGTGACATTTCCATACGTTTCAAAACTATCGATAGTTTTGGTAAATAAGGAGGCAGATCCGTGAATTCGCACTCTTCTCGCCAAAATGGATTTCTGGTCTCCAGCTTTGTTATTGTACGGGCGCGAACCTCACCATCAAGCATGACCTCTGCAAAGTAGTCACCGAGAATCCCATCTGGCTCTGGCCTTACCGAGTGCCTGCCATACTGGGGTAACTCTGCCCTTATGCCAGACTTCCGAAATTTAGCTTCAACGATTCGCATGTTTAGAGACTTCTCAATTCGGAACATATCGTTAGTTGAAGAAGGATATCCCTCAGGCAATTCCTCACCTTCGGCATCAGCTTCTATTTGCTGTGGGGTATCATGTCCATATATTTCTGGAATTGTGAAAGCCCTCAAGAGACATAACCAAACTTCGAAAACCAATCGTGATTCTAATGCTAGGTAGATAGGTCTAAATATGGACAAGTCTGTGGATGTAGAAGTGTACTGTGGAAATATGGCAATGCAATATTCTTCTCCCAGTACTGACTTGTCAAGCTTTTGGATTGCGCTCCTGGACAATTGTGGGAGCTGAACGACTGAAAGCAATAAAGCATCATTTTCGGTCAAAACCTTGAGATCGCCATTATCCTGAAGTATACAGGATATCCTACGCCACTGTTGTCCAGAGTTACGCAGATGTCGCGTTGAACGACGAGTGATAATGGACTCGGGGGATAGGGGTGGCCCTTTGTCCCACAATAGGAGCTTGGCTACTTTGATAATATTTGAGTCTTTATTACTATACGCAGAACCTCGTCGATCCACTGGGCGTCTGTCGTCGTGATGTCCTGTTGGAGATTTCAGCGGACTTGTCAAAGATGACGCTAGCCTGATCTGTTGCCATGGTAGTATCGCTGCTAACCAGTGATCAAATT